GCAGCGAAGGGAAGACAAAGGGGAGGGGAAAAAGGGGGAGGGAGTTTGAGGTCTTGGGAGGGGGGCTCGCCTGATGTGCTGCGCGGAGACATGGCGGGGCGAAGAACATGACCAGGAAGCCGTGGTGAGGGAGGGAAGGAGGAAGGGGTTGAGGAAGTGGATGAGGGCTTGACGGAGTCGTCGACGAGAACCGGGATGACAGGAGGGTCACGGGCAAAGGAGGAGGAGGAGGGAAGAAGCAAAGCAAGCAGAGTATTCGGATCTCTTTCTTCTTTATACTCCCAAACTTGATTTCTCACTTTACTCGCCTCTCAAACTGTACAAATACATCCCATACATTCAACAACCCTCAGTGCCCTTCCCTCCTCATCACAGCAACGGCATCCTCCTTGCCCTTCCGTCCTCATCATCGCGACGGCTCGGCGCTTAAGGTGGTGCGGAGGGGGCCGAGCTGGAAGAGACGGACCGAGCAGGGGATGGAGTGGAGGGATCCGTCGGTCTTTGGACGCGTTTAAGCCGCACGTCGGCGTCCAGGGCCTGAAGGGTTGAGAAGGTAGAGAGTGTATGCATGAGGCACAAGGAGAGAGAACCTGTCCTCCCTCTCCCGCCTCCCTCACTTTCCCCCTGCTTCTCCCCCTCCAACGACACCGTGTGGGCGACGCGAGGACGACAAAGCATTCATCCCTTTTGTCCCTTTTGCTCCTTTTTTCGTTTTTCTTCGCCTTGGCCAACCCCTCCACTTCCATCCTCCCGCATCCTCCTTCCTTTTCTTCCGTACCGTAGGGCGCATGAAATATTCCATGCCCTGCACCGCATCCTCGATCTTCGTCTGGGCGTCCTTCCCCTCCAAATTCACTAAGAAGCGACGAAAGGCTTCGTTCTGATTCGCCACGCCACTGTTCTGGGCCCCTGCGCTTCCCTCCCTTTCCCTTTTCGTCCCTTCTTCTGCCAGAAAACACGGCTCTTCTCGGGCCGCCACCGGGCGTGGCGCCCTCGACGCGGTGACACTATCCATGGCAAAATGGAAACAAACCCCGGCCAAGAAGGTCACGCCCACAGTTTTGGCAACAAAGCGGTGCAATGGACGGCGAAACATCCAAATCTTTTGTAAAAAGGGATGCGTGGTCGGAAAAGAAGAGGTGTAAGGGTAAATATGATCCCATTAGGATGCGAGCAGGTAGAGATGCTATGTGGGGTACTGTACAGTAAAAACGAGGCCTGGATCTTCTCTGAATTTTTAGTGACAAAGAACGAAGGTTGTAAATGAGGAAACGACGGTAAAAATAACTCTTGATTCTTGAGTGAAGGGAAGCGGGCTGGGAGAGAGGAGGTAAGCTGCCAGCTCACATCACTTCGTGAAATTAATTGCCATGGCCACGACTCCTTAGCTGCTCCGTTGCCAGTCGTGAATACAGAGACAAATTCTTCTCAAACAACCACCGAGTCCTCCGTTGCATGCGCGGCTGGACGCATGCGTTGGGTTTATGTCAAGTGAAGCGGCATCGCTCTAGCGAGGGCCCGGCGAGAGGGAGAAGCTACTAGCAGGACGCGTCGTGTTGGCTCTTGAGGTCTTAATCCCCTCGCTTTCAGGCTTTTCACAGGCTCCTTCACCTTGCTCCACTTTTCTGGGCGCGCAAATAGACAGAGAGGCTACAGGACAAGAAAGAGACTCATCGACATTACGCTTGAGCGCCGCCTTCATCGAGTCCCTGTCTCGGACTACATCACCTCCCGCCTCAACGTGAAACTCTGCGCGTTGCCGCATCTCCTGAAGTCTACAGTCCATGAGTGGAATCGAGCAATTGGCGGAGGGACGACAAACCAGACGACGGATATTCGGGTCCTTGGGCTGGTCTCCTGCTGCCTCGACTCCTTTGGTCGTGACAGGTACGGCTGAGAGATAAAGACCGAGGCGCGTATGCTACTTTGGCTAACTTGTTTCGCGGGCTTCCGAAATGCCATCCTTGTGACGGCCATTCTGTTCTCACTCTCACAATGCCCATCATTTCGTCCACCAGGCCTCTTTCAAGGCTATTTAGCCTACAATATTGCGCGCAAGGCGCTCGCCGTCGCTGCTCCGGGTATGTGAAGGATCGTGGGAAAGGAAGGCCGGAAGGTCACTACCCGTGAAGGTTTAGCTTGTAGCTGAACCGACTCTCGTGGCCTTTCCCATGCTCTCCTGTCCGCTGCCTCATCCCTTTCGATTCGGACGCCTCTACCTCTCGCCCCGCCTACCCTCCTTCCTCTCCCCCCTCTTAGGCCTCCAGGGCGGGGAGGGCCTGACGAAGACGGACCTCGGCGTGGTCTCCTCCTCCTTCACGGTCACCTACGGGGCCTCCAA